TCCCCATTCAGAACCCTTCAGGAGGAGGGAGGAGGCTACTTAGTGGAGTTGCACCGCCTAGAAGGGATCAGATTAGAGGAAGAAGGCAATGTTCCACCTATAGTGCAGCCGCTCATACACCAGTTCAGCGAGGTCTTTCAACCTCCCCAAGGTTTACCTCCTCAGAGGGAGTTGGAGCATGCCGTTACTTTGAAAGAAGGGGAGACACTGATCAGTGTCTGCCCTTACCGTTACCCACAGATTCAGAAAGATGAGATTGAGAAGTTGATTCCGGAAAATGCTGGAGGCAGGGATCATCAGACCTAGCGTCAGCCCTTTTTTTAGTACAGTTCTTCTGGTCAAGAAGAAGGATGGAGTTGGAGATTCTGTGTGGATTACAGGGCTCTGAATAAGGGCACTATACCAGACAAGTTCCCAATTCCGGTGATTGATGAGCTGTTGGACGAGCTACGTGGGGCAGTGATGATTTCCAAGCTGGACTTAAAATCTGGATACCATCAGATCAGAATGAGAGAGGCAGATGTTCCAAAGACAGCATTCAGGACACATGAAGGGTATTATGAATTCCTGGTAATGCCCTTTGGGTTGACCAAAGCTCTTGTTATGTTTCAGTCCTTGATGAACAAAGTGTTCAAGCAGTACCTCAGGAAGTTTGTCCTGGTCTTCTTTGACATTCTGGTATACAACAAGACTGGGGAGGAGCACTTGGAATAATTGAGAATGGTCTTAGATTAGAAGTATTGCAGGAGCATCAACTGAGAGCCAACCTGAAAAAATGCAGTTTTGCTTAGTCTAGTGTAGAATATTTGGGACATGTGGTATCCCAAGGAGTGGCGGCGGACCAAACCAAAATTGAGACAATACAGAAATGTCCACTATCTAGGAACCTAAGAGAGTTGAGGGGTTTCCTAGGATTGACTGGCTATTACAGGAAGTTCGTGAAGGGATATGATACCATTGCATAACCCTTGACTGAGCAGCTGAAGAAAGACAACTTCTCCTAGGGAGATGCAGCAACCTAGGCCTTCGAGAGGTTGAAGAAAGCCATGAACCCTGTTCCTGTTCTATCCCTTTCAGATTTCAGCCAGGCCATTGTTGTAGAGACCGATGTGTCAGGATATGGGTTGGGAGCAGTGTTGATGTAGAACCACAGGCCTGTAGCATACTTCAGTCAAGTGCTATTAATCAGGGCAAGACTGAAGTCAGTGTACGAGAGGGAGCTGATTGTGATTGTCTCGGCCATTCAGAAGTTGCGCCCCTATCTTTTGGGTTGACACTTCATTGTCCGGATTTATCAAAGGAGTTTAAAGTACCTTTTGGAGCAAAGGATGGTGACCGAGGAGCATCAGCGGTGGCTATCCAAACTTTTGGGCTACGATTTTGAAATCCATTATAGGTCTGGTTTGGAAAATAAAGCAGCGGACGCCTTATCCAGATGTGTGGGGGAGCTCCAGGAGTTAGCTTTGTCTTAACCATTGATGGTCGACTTGGGGGCCATCAAGGAAGAGAGCAGGTTTGACGAAGAATTGAGAAAGATCAGTGAGGATTTGAGGAAAGACAAGAGTAGCCATCCGGGTTATTGCATTGAGGGGGAGAGACTATTGTATCACAGGAGGTTTGTGATGCCGCGAACTTCCATACATATTCCCCATTTGTTGCAGGAGTTCCATAGCAGCGCAGTTGGAGGCCATTCAGGTGTGCAGAAGACATACATGAGGTTAGCAGCTGAACTCTACTGGAAGGGGATGCATAAGGATGTGAAGGAGATGGTGGCAAGGAGAGAGGTGTGTCAGAGAAATAAATACATGGCAATGGCACCAAGGGGGTTACTCCAACCATTGGCACTTCCAAATAGAGTATGGGAGGTATTGTCCATGGATTTCATCGACGGCCTACCCCGCTCAGAGGGATTCACAGTCATCTTGGTAGCCGTGGACCGACTCAGTAAGTATGCACATTTCATCCTCCTACGACATCGGTACACCGCGGTATCAGTGGCAACAGCTTTTATCAGGGAAGTGGTTAGATTACACGGGATGCTCGAATCAATTGTGTCTGATAGAGACAAAGTGTTCCTTAGTCAGTTTTGGAGGGAATTGTTCTGAATATAATGCAACCTCCTCAAGAGAAGCACCGCCTACCATCCTCAGACAGATGGAAAGACAGAGGTGGTAAATCGGAGCTTGGAGACATATTTGAGGTGTTTTGCTTCAGAAACACCACGGAAGTGGGCTCAATGGTTACCATGGGCGGAGTACTGGTACAACACATCATACCATTTTGCTTCTCAGATGACCCCTTTCAAAGTGTTGTATGGGTGGGACCCCCACACCTAGTGCACTATGGGAGAGGAAGTACACCGATATCTTTAGTTGAATAATACCTAGAGGAAAGAGACCTCGTGTTGGAGGAGTTGAAGAAACATCTGGGAAGAGCACAACAAATCATGAAGAAGCGAGCAGATACACACAGGAGAGACATGCAATATGAAGTAGGGTTGAAGGTGTACTTGAAGCTAAGGCCCTACATGCAAAAAATCAGTGGCTAACAGGAGGAACGAGAAATTGACCTTGAGCTACTTTGGTCCCTATGAGATCTTGGGAAAGATTGGAGCAGTGGCGTATCATTTGAAGTTACCCTCCTCCGCTACCATACACCCGGTGTTTCATGTGTCACAGCTGAGGAGAACACTTGGAGAGCATGCAGCTAGTGTTGAATTACCAGCATCATTAACAGAGGATTTGGAGGTGGTCATGGAACCCGTGGAGCTGGAAGGGGTAAGGTTGGATAAAAAGGGAAACAAAGAGGTGTTGATCAAATGGAAGGATCTCCCCGACTACGAGGCCACTTTGGAGCCCTATGAGTTGGTGAAGCAACAGTTCCGTTACTTTCACCTTGAGGACAAGGTGAATCTTTGGGAGGGGAGTAATGTTACGCTTGGACCGGTCCCAGCTGGACTGGTCCGGTTCTACACCCGGCGGGCCAATGCCAGGCGGAACCAAGCAGAGGAGGGGGCGGAAGTTTGGGTGGGCCCAAGCATGCGTTAAACACTTCATTTGGAGGGAAAATTTGAATTAGAAGGGTGTTTAGGGAATTTGTATCTTTCCTTTAGCTTTAATTAGGGAGTAATGAGGGAATTAGGTTTGAGCTTGAATTTGAATGTATTTTTGAGATCTAGGGTTTCTTGCTTTGGGCTTTTGGCGTTGCCGGAGATTTGGAGAGTTATTACTTCCTCTCGAATTGAAGGAAATTGTATCTTTGCTTGTTTTCTTGAATCTACTAGTGAAATACAATTTCTCTATTGGTTTTCCTACAAGTTTTCTCTCAGTTTTCCTCTATTTTCCACTATTTCTGGCGATTTAACTGCTATGAACAGCAGTTTTCCTTGTTGTGGTACTTGGTTTTGGTTAGGTTTGCTTGTGAACATAAGTATTTCTTATCAGCTTCTCGCCTCCAGCTTCCTCGAGCTAATGGCTCTAGGCCATTTTCCCTGATCCATCCAGGCCCAACACCTCCCTGCGGTCTTACGCGAGCAGTTCGCATGCCAGGCCCTGCCTCCAACTTCGATCACTATACGACCTGCGTGCTTCATTCGTCCTAATCTCTGACCCAATCAACAGTTCCGACCCTGACTCTGATCTCCTCTTCCTTCCTCTCCTCTGTTTATTTATGTAATAATAATAATAATAAAGGGAAGGCATCACAATTGCATATTGGAGGATGAAGACTGATTCTATGATTGAATTCTTTCTCCCGAAGCCCTCGGCCTTCAGTGTGTACCATTATATATTGTTAATATTATTTAAAGGCATGATTGGTGTAACTATCTTGAATCTATTATATAATAAGAATGTGGATATAGATGAGGATTTAATTAAGGTTAGGTCTTTAGAATAAAAAAATTCTTGCGAGTATTAGAGACAAGAAAATTATGCAGATTTAGAAGATAATTTTTATGAAATAATAATTAGTTCAGCTATGCTGAGCGTGGCAAGTGAGCGTATGAAAACAAATATAAAATTAAAAAAAGATGAATCAATGAATGATTATGTTAGAGGGATGATGGGAATAATATCTATTGAATTTAAAGTAGGAAAAGTATACTTCATTAAAATGGGTCTATAAATTATTGTCAAGTGAATAAGAAAGAAAACGGGTGGATTAAAGGTTGCATAAATAAAAATTGTTTTTTTTTGTTTTTTACATAATAAATTTAATACCTCATTAGGTATAATTAGAATGAACAAATGGAGCATTAGGATCCTGAAAATGTAGGCCCCAAACAGATGGGAGAAACTAATGATGATGATGATATCAATTGTGCCCATATCTACTCTTTATTTTCTCTAAAATTTCAAGAAAAATATTCATGTAGTTCTAATCTTTCACACTGATTTGTGCAGCCTTGAAATTCATTCTCTTAATTTATTTTGCAACAAAACAAGCAACCATCAGCATTTGCTGGACTTAACTACAGAAATCGTGATCAAGTTTACTTGTGATCTGCTCTCCGTGACAATAAATTTACTGCACATAGAAGCAAAGTGCAAGTGGAATTTGTGTTCTATCTCGAATTTAGTTTTTTTTCACAGCTTTCCCAATAACAACAACAACAACAACATCAAGCCTTTATCCCACTATGTAGGGTCAGAGCTTTCCCAGATGGTCTAAAAACAGTGTCTGTGCATTAGTTGTGCATGTTCCCTATAATTATATCTTATTCAGATGCTTTTTTAGCCACAATTCATATTTTGTATAATATTTCCTTGTGTTTTCTGTAGTCTTACAGGTGCATGAAATTGATCATCACAGATGGGATTCAAATAAAAAAAAAATTAATATGACCAAGTTGTCTAGGTGATGTTCATAAAATACAATATCATTTCGATCCTGCAAGTCTAATAATTCTTTGTTGCCTTGTTTTTGGTCATTCAAACCCTCATTTTGAGGATAATTATCTAAATGGTCACTTGTTATGATTTGTCACTGTTGATTTGCAGGTTATTACTGGTTATGGTGTAGGTAAAGTTGTGGACTCTGCTCATCCGAACTTCCAAGCTGGAGATTTGGTTTGGGGGATTACTGGATGGGAAGAATATACTCTTATAAAAGCACCTGAATTTTTGGTCAAAATTAAGTACACTGATGTGCCTCTTTCCTACTATACAGGAATTCTAGGTACTCCATTATGATAATTCTGGTTTTCTTTATTGCATGTTAACGAATTATGCATTTATTTTTTTGGTTCAAGTACTACTGAATATTGATGGCATGTCTCCATTTTTTATAAAAAAAGCAATGTGTTCATTCACAAGATTCATAAATTTGAAAGCAGTTTGCCGTACAATGGTTTGCTCTATATAAAGTTGATTTGCTGTAGATGAAGCTGAACTATATTATAACATGTATATTACAAGCCTGCTTGGGGTAGTTTTTTCATAGCTTTGTTTTTCAAACAGCTTCCATTGTCTTGATTGGCTATAGCTTTCTTGTTGCTTTTAGAAATTTTTATGATGGAAAACAACTTTTTTTAACTAAATCCATCAAAGTATAGAGTACTTGGAAGAAGTTGTTTGACTTTTTTCAAGAGGAAAAGAGTGTGTAATGCTTATAGGAGCTTTCAAAAAAAAATATATATTTTCTCGCAATAATTCTACAACAACTTTAGGTACAACCACTTGAATTCGAATGACATATTCTGAGTAATTTACAGTTTTCTTGTGATTATATTTATTTGCTCCAGCGTACATTGTTATATTTATTTATTTTTGTGAATTTATTTAGGAATGCCCGGGCTTACTGCTTACGTTGGTTTCAATGTAATAAGCTCCCCTAAGAAGGGAGAAACAGTATACGTTTCAGCCGCCTCAGGAGCTGTTGGCCAACTTGTTGGCCAATTTGCCAAGTTAATGGGTTGCTACGTGGTTGGAAGTGCAGGCTCTCAGGAGAAGGTAGAATTAATCATTCTACACATTTAATAAGTAAATCATGAGATTTTAAAGAGGAAAACTAAAAAGTAGTCATGATGGATCTCATAGTATTTGGATGTATTTTGAAATTGAGTGCAAATTCATGACTTTTGAGAACAAAATTTTTCTTGGATATCGTGATCTTATTTTTTCTGCTCTTTTAAATGTCTAAACCCTTCTTATTGAATTACATTCTGATTTATTATGATGGCTGATTTATCAGGTCGATCTCCTTAAGAGCAAGTTTGGATTTGATGAAGCATTTAACTACAAAGAGGAGCATGATCTCAATGCTGCTCTGAAAAGGTCAGTAGCTTATATGATTCCATTCAGCTATCCATACTTGATTGTTCATAAACTTTTGAATTTGTCTTATAACCGTCATGTTGCACAAGGAAACTGCCAATATCTCATTATTTTCTTCATTTCACAGATGAACATAGACATTTTGCCTATTGATCTTTCTAATGTGATTTTACATGTTGGGAAATAGGCGAAGTCTGTTTCAAACTTAAAAATATCCTAAAATTCTATTTTCACTGAATAAATGGCTGTCTTGTTACCGTTGGCATGTATTTTACTATGATTTGATTGCGGATAATTATAACTCTAATTTCTTTGGCACAAACATAAGACGGAGTCCCTTTATTAAAAAAGACATCGGTGGCCCGCAAATCTACTAAGTATATTTTCTTCGTGCGACAAAAATTAGATTTCGGCTTCGTTTGCGACAGCTTTCCTACGGTTTAGGGTACTAAAAACTGTTTAAAGAAGCAATAAGAAAGTCGTTCCAAATGAAGCCTTCATAACTTAAAAAGATGTACTCTGCTCTCATCAATCATATTAGTTAGCTTCTATGTATGTGATTTATGCCTATCCTCACACTTGCATTCATACCAACAGATATTTTCCTGATGGAATTGACATTTACTTCGAAAATGTTGGGGGACCAATGCTTGATGCTGTGCTGTTGAACATGAGAAACCATGGCCGGATAGCTGTCTGTGGGATGATATCACAGTACAATCTCACAGAGAAAGATAGCGTTCATAACCTCTTCTTGATCATATCGAAGCGAATTCGAATGGAAGGATTCATCGAACCAGATCACAAACACCTGTATCCTCAGTTCCTGGAGCTCGTCATCCAGTACATAAGGGAAGGCAAACTGGTCTATGTTGAAGACATTGCTGAAGGAATTGAGAATGCTCCTGCTGCTCTCATCGGCCTCTTCTCCGGCCGCAATGTCGGCAAGCAGGTCGTCTTGATTGCTCACGAGTGATCGATGCCGAAGTGGCATGAATAAAATCTTCAGTTCCAGTGATCATCTTCCTTGAGTAATGTGGTGAGGGTGGTCAAGTAGTATGGGATTTGTGGATGTTAGATCTTGTAAGAATAAGTGTCTTGTTTGCATGATAAGGAACTTGCTTGTGTGGACAAACTCATAAGAAATGCAGTGGAATTGTAAGTCTAGTTTTGTGCCTGAATTATAATTAGTACATAAGACTTGGCTTCAGCTTTATAACTGTTTTTAAAGGAGCTTATTTTAATTTTTGTACTAAAAAGCTGTTTTAAAAAGCAATAAAAAAGCCGTCCTAAACAAAGCCTTAGTCGAAAAAAAGAATATTTTTTTTGTTGGGAAGAGAGAACTTTCTTCTATATGTATAGCATTTTTTTTTTCTCCATCAAAATAAATTAAAAATGGAGGGAAAGAATTTAAATAAATAAATTTGTAATAATACTCGAATTCTTATTTCAAAAAAAACATTCTTACTTATTTTTATTCATATGAGGGCATATATTCAATTTTAATTATAATAGTTTTTCTTCCTTTAATTTTCATTCAAAATTCAGTTGACTAATTTTTCTCTCAAATTTTAAATCAAAATTACTTTCTTTTTTTTTAGTTTTTCTTACAACAACAACATCAAGCCTTTATCCCACTGCGTGGAGTCGGCTACATGAATCCTTTTTCTCCATTGTGTCATATTAAAAGTCAAATTCTCGTTTAAATCTAATAAAGGTGATTCCTTATATTTTCTAACCAAATCTTTTTAGATCTGCACCTACTTTTCTTAACATTAGTTTTTCCTACGTAAAAGGAAAATTTGGGGGTTATAACAACTTATGAATTTGATTTTAATTGAGTGTAATAGAAGAATATTTAATTAAATTTTAAGAAATTTAATAATTTTCAAATTCAGCCTAAAAAAAGCATATTTGCTGTGCATATTTTTTTCACCTTTTTAATCGTGTTAATATGTAACTGAATAAGTAACCTTCAAAAAAAAAAAAAAAAAAAGAGGCATCAAAAAGAGGAAAATAAAATGAAAGTGGTGGTCCAATGCATCCTATTAATGCATTATTTAGCCATACAATTTTCTTCATGTGCCTTTGTCATGCATTTTGTTACGTATAATGTTCTATTTTGACCATCTTTGATTCACACTTACTAGCATATTTGAAGTCTTAAAATGGCACCATATGGTGTGATCAGTTGAAGATAAGAAGAACATTACACTTTTTATTTTTGGTATAACTACGTATTTGAAAAACTCAGTTGTTGTTATGTCCCAAGTTCTGAATGTGAATATTTTTGGTAGTTAGTCGACAATCAGTGTAAACTTATTGAATATTCATGATATGAATCCATTAATATATCGTGTTAATATGTAACTGAATAAGTAACCTTCAAAAAAAAAAAAAAAAAAAGAGGTGACCTTCAATTAATTGAGGCAATGTAAGTAAACCTTACAAATGGTTATTGATGTATTCACACTTATGTCATAACCTTATTTGCATTATAGTATACACAATCAAGAGTATAAATTAAACTATATAATTAATTACAATGCACACTGATTGATGAGATGGCAATCATGGAGCCAATCTAGCCATAATTTGTTGATATTAAGCTAATCTAGCCATATTTCATTGAGATTAATTTCTCATTACTTATATATGTAATGCTTTTGTAAATCTATTTGTAATTTGAAGGTTTATGGAGATGCGAGGAAGATAAATAATATGAGCATCAAAGGCTTCTTGAATTGAGCGACAATCGTACTTGGTCCTCCCATGATACACTAGATTGGTGACTATTTGAATTATACTTGTAGTATCAACATGTAGCGGAGTAGGACTTTCTTGAGAACATTTGAGTTTTGATAAAGTCTATGTAGCCATATAATTTCTAAGCAAGAAGCAAATATGACATGATATCAAATTATGTGGATGATTTGGATACACAAGATTAATTCTTCTTACTCTTTCATGAGATCAAAGAATCATCAACAAATACACACCATCTTATGACTGATCAATGAGTATTGGGTATCTATAGAATCTATATCACTATATATCACAAGCTGAAGAGAAGAATCATGTGAAAAGAACAAATCACATATTGGCGTCCTAATAACATATTAAATATTTTTTATGAATGGTAACAAAATGTAAGTGACAATCATTTTGCATAAATTAAATTACTTGTTGAGCTATAAAAGAAATTTATGAGCATGTTATAGTCAAATAGTTTAAACTGTATATTAGTTATCCATATGTTGTGGAATCAAAGGGAAGATCTCCTTCCTCTTTATGATACTTTATATTTACTTCTAATGGAATATTCTTAGGAGAAGAATTTTGAAGACATGTCAAAGTAATTAGATCATGTGTTTACTAATATTAGTTTAGAAATGTACCGAAAAGTTGTGTGTACTTCCAAACCTAAGAAGAAACTGAGAACTCCAAGATCCTTGATATCCAATGTGCCCTAAAGGTGTTGTTGAAAATGATTAATTAGAGTCAAAATTGTCCAAATTGTGTCAACTAAAACTAGAAGAATGTCAATTCCATTGAATGTCCTACATAAAAAATAATGATGAATTATATGAGAACGTGTAGGATTGACCAAAAATTTTTAAACCATGAAAGGAAGCATGTGTCAAATCATATAGGGAACACTTTAGTTTGCATATTTTTGAAGGGCAAGAGATGGATACCCCGAAGGACTTTCTTATATGTTTCTTTCATGGTATCATCATGAAGAAAGACATTTTTAATATATATTTAGTGAAGTGGTCATCCTTGTGAAATAGAAATTGAGATAATCATTTGCATTATGGGCATCTTTACAACTAAAGAAAATGCTTTACCTTAAACATGTGGTTGTGATGTATGAGGTGATGAGTGTGATCTTCCTTTGTTGTGGATATAAGGCAAACAAAAGATGATGTGTTGGGGCAAAGGACCTCATGAGGTATCAGAAGTTCTAAAGCATGGCTCATGAGTAATGAATGAATACTTGAATGTGATGTCTTCATAGGCGAGAAACTACAAATGCTCAAAGGATTTTACAAAAGTTATTGAATGATGATTCCAACAATAATATACTGATCTTTAGTGGATTTTCATAGAGTGAGATATGGAGATAAACAATAATTAGAATAGCTATGATATCATAACAAATGAAGTGGAGCACAAATTATTTGAATTTGATTCTATTTTTTGCCCATGTTTATATAATCCTAAGAGGATTACATAATATAATGTATACATAATCAAGAGTAGAAACTTCGCTATACAATTAATTACAATCCATGTTGATTGATAATGGGGCATTCACGGAGTTGATTTAGCCATAATTCATGGAGAATGATTTCATGAGCTCATGGATCAATGAGGAAACATGCTATAAATTGATTAATTTATCATTAATTATTTATGATGGTACATAATTGCATCTTGATCATTATCATATCTAATTACACGCCATGACCTCATTTGTACCATAACCATCTATTCCAAAACATACGTCACTTGTATCACGGTCATCATCACATCTGGACCTACACTATAACCATGCTTTTGCAATAACCATATGACTAAAGATTTATGTTGAAAATCCAATTGAATTATAGTTACCACAATATCTGAAAGTATGTTTCAACCTTGCTTATATCGAAATGTGATGTGACATGATTTGTTCATAAGTGTGAAATATGTCATGGTAAAGGAAAAATATCAAAGGCCTAATGGATTATTATAGCCATTACCTATTTCGAAGTGGAAATGGGAAGATTTTCTAATATCAAGGCAATGTTATGATGATTTTTTTTATGGTTGGCAAATTAATTATATCAACCCATTTTCTTCTAATAAGTTAGATATATTCAATAGAGAGATTAGCCCAATTATATATGTGGGACATTATCAGACAATATGGAATACCCAAGGTTATCATTCTTTATCATGATGGCGAATTCATATCTAGATTATATAGGGACAATAAAGAAAGTTTCAAAACCAAGTTGATTTTTGATACAACTTTCCACATGAATACTTATGGGAAGTTTAAGAGAAACATTCAAGTGTTAGAAGATTTGTTAAGATTATGTGTATTAAAGTTTTGTGAGAGGGAGGATCACATTAGTTTGATTGAATTTTTCTGTTATGATATTTTCTAATCAAGTATTGGGATGGCACCATATGATACACTTTATGGTAGGAAGTGTAGGACACAATAGTTTTAGGCATCAGTGGGTGAGAGGAAGCTAATGAGTCATGAACTGGTAAATGATATTACTGAGGAGATCAATATAATCAGGAATGGATTAAAAATAACTAAGGATAGGCTGAGTAAACTTTTTAATCCAAAGCATCAGGCTATAGTATTCAAGCAGAAGATTTTGTATTTTTGAAAGTCAATTCCTTGAAAGGTGTAATTAGATTTGGTAGAGAAGGCTAATTTCAAGGTGTGTTGGACATTTTAAGGTGATTGGTAAAGTTGAAAAGTCTACCTGAGGTTGTTGTTACCATATTATATATCTGATGTGCACAATGTGTTTCATATGTAAATACTGAAAAAGTGAGTTTCTAATCTTGAGTCTAAAGTTCATGAGGATAAAGTTGAAGTGAGACCAATTTATCTTAGAGAGAAGAGCATGAATGAATTAGAACTTATAACATGACGTAGTTAATGAATAAATAAATTCCTATGGTTAAATTTAGAGGAGGCATGAGTCAAAAATAGATATCACTTACGTGAAAGTAGTAGAATTGAGATAGCTTATCAAGATGTATTCTATCTGATAGCTTGCAAAGAAATAAGGGAGGGGGTATTTTTCTAAGGATGGGACAATGTAATTTCCACTAATATAGCATTCAGTTCATTACAATGACTTGAATTGGATCTGATAAGAATTATAAGTTTGTTTAAGTATTTTAGAATTTTTATGAATTGATTTAAGTTGAAAAAATGGGTGCCAAATTTTTTGAATGAGAGCATTTTGTTGTTGGTTTGAGGAGCACTTTGGCACTAAGCTCTCTATCTTTCAAAATAAAGTTTGAGTTCCTTAGGAGCATAATGGTGATGGAATTGGGGCGATGCTAGCTACCCTTTTCATATGTTAGAGAACATTACGGCACTGAAGCTGCAATGTTGTAGCACTAAGATTCCTATTTATATAAACTTTCCAAAGATAAA